GCGGTGTTATTTGTTTCAGGAAGATGCTCATAGATTCGTTTTGGAATATGCTGCAAACAGAAGAAAAAATCATTAATAATAACTGTTACCCCTAAACTATAAAACACAAAGCCACACTGCCAGAGGCATAAAAAATATACCGATGCATATATTTATCTAGAGTTAAGGCATCAAAAGTAATAGTAAGAAACTCATTTAGTCTAAACCCCCCATAAAAAAGCCACACTGCCGGAAGTTAATGGTTTAAAATTTTTATATAAAAAAAACTCATTTACCAGATAGTCGTGATTGATGTATGAATCTTTCATAAGCACTTTAAATGTTGGATTATGCTCGTCCTCGTTATCATCAGAAGAGGAGTAAGATAGGGATCGTTTGGCAGAGCTAGGAGAGGATTCCATAATTGGTTTTCTAGGATTTGTGTAAGAGTATGTGTTTATGTCTATAGGGTTGTGTGGGTGAATGTGTATATATACACAGCCAACTGTTCAAAAAGGCATATTTGACCATAAATTTTAGTAAAATGCAGATTTAGAACCTAATTAAAATGTGTATTTTGCATATTTAGTCCCCTTGTAATGTGAATTTTGACATCAATTGTTAGATTTGGGACCTAATTAGCAATTTAATTATGAAATATTAATGAATTAAGTGTCCCTGTGTAATGTTCATTTTGACCTCAATTGTTAAATTATATAATTCAAACCATAATAATAAGTAGATATTAATAGTAACCATATAAATCCATTGACTAACGTTGTAGTCATATAAGCTATGTTAATTATAACGTTGCGCTTCATAGTTATATTGACCGTCTATATAATAACTAATATATAATTTCATTCACAAAGGTCATACGTATCGGCCACTAGTTATTCATAGTAACAATATAAATCCATTGACTAAGGTTTTAGTCATATAACCTATGTTACTTATATCGTTGCGCTTCATAGTTATATCGACCGTCTATATAATATCCAATATATAATTTCATTCATTAAGGTCATACGTATCGGCCACTAGTTATTCATAGTAACCATATAAATCCATTGACTAATGTTGTATTCATATAACCTATGTTAATTATATCGTTGTGCTTCATAGTTATATTGACCGTCTATATAATAGCTAATATATAATTTCATTCATTACGATCATGCGTATTGGCCACTAGTTATTCATAGCAACAATATAAGTCCATTGACTAAGGTTGTAGTCATATACTACGCTAATATTAATTACATCGTTGTGATTCATAGTTATATTGATCATTTATACAATAGCCAATATATAATTTCATTCATTAAGGTCATACGTATCGGCCTATAATTATTCATAGCAATCATATAAGTCCATTGACTAAGGTTATAGTAATATGGCATATGCTAATTACATCGTTGTGATTCATAGTTATATTAACCATATAAATCCATTGACTAATGTTGTATTCATATACCCTATGTTAATTATATCGTTGCACTTCATAGTTATATTGACCGTCTATATAATAGCTAATATATAATTTCATTCATTAAGATCATGCGTATCGGCCACTAGTTATTCATAGCAACAATATAAGTCCATTGACTAAGGTTGTAGTCATATACTACTCTAATGTTAATTACATCGTTGCGATTCATAGTTATATTGATCGTTTATGTAATAGCCAATATATAATTTTATTCATTAAGGTCATACGTATCGGCCACTAGTTATTCATAGCAACAATATAAGTCCATTGACTAAGGTTATAGTAATATGGCCTATGCTAATTACATCATTGTGATTCATAGTTATATTGACAGTTTATATAATAGCCAATATATAATTTCATTCATTAAGGTCATACGTATCGGCCTATAGTTATTCATAGCAACCATATAAGTTCATTGACTAAGGTTATAGTAATATGGCCTATGCTAATTACATCATTGTGATTCATAGTTATATTGACAGTTTATATAATAGCCAATATATAATTTCATTCATTAAGGTCATACGTATCGGCCTATAGTTATTTATAGCAACCATATAAGTCCATTGACTAAGGTTATAGTAATATGGCTTATGCTAATTACATCATTGTGATTCATAGTTATATTGGCCGTTTATATAATTTTATTCATTAAGGTCATGCGTATCGGCCTAAAGTTATTCATAAGTCCATTGACTAAGGTTATAGTCATATGGCCTATGTTATACATAGCCAATATATAATTTCATTTATTAAGGGCATATTGACCGTTTATATAATACTCAATTTATAATTCTATATATTTTTATTGGATAATCTTAATTATAATAAAAGGAAAAAGTAAAAATACGATTGGAGGGAAATTAAAAGCTTTGACTCTTTATATATCTCTTAAACACAAGTTAAAGTGTTAAACAGCATTTCCAACTCTCCAAACAAAAATAGATACTCTAAACATGAATGCTAACGGATGGATTGAAGATGATTTTTATCCATGGTTTAGGATGAACGTGCCCAGATCGTATATTAAGCGTGATGATCTGGTAATTTTTTTTTTAATTTCATAATTTGATAACTATTGATTATCCTAACTAGCAATGAATTCCGAACCCTATCTTTACTTTATGTTCTTGCAGTTTCTTCCAAAGAGTATATGTGACTATCTTCCTCCTATTTCGGTTAAAACAATGCTTCTATGTAATGGGAAGGAGTGCGCTGTGACTCTCACATGTGGTGTTCGGAGAAGACTCATTAAGGGGCGGAAATAATTTATTGTCGAAAATTATCTGAAGAAAGCAAGTGTTCTTCTCTTTGAACTAGTTTAGGCTACATCAGGGGCCGTGATCTTCTTTGTTGAAGTGCAAGGAACGCCTAATGCTTAGCTCGTCATATGTGCTTTTAGTTATATGTATTGACTTCAAATGGATCAAAGTAGTATTATAAGAACATGTTTCTGGATAAATATGATTGTTTCTTATAATATTATTTATGTTTTTTCTAATTATTATTGTTATATTTATTTATTTTAAGAAGACTACTAGATTAAAAAAAGCCTATTTAAACTGAAAATTATTTAATATATTTAGTGAAAAAAATGACTAATCTAAAACTACAACCAAGATATTATTTAGCATTCATCGTTTAGGCCAAGTCCCCCTCTTCTTTTTTATCCTTTTATAACCAAGAACAAGACTGGGAAGCTTATCTTTAAAAAAAAGGTTTGAAAATCGACATTAATTTGCTCATAGAAAAGTGGAAAAATCAACACAGATAATCAAAAATTGTATTTACCAATACAAATTTTTTGAGACCGATTCGTTATTAATTAGAATTCAACCACCAAAACCTAAACCTAAACGAACCTAAACCAAAAGAGAACCAAAACCTAAACCTAAATAAGGGTCAAATAACATTTACATGGATTAGTCAAGTCTGATAAATCTAAGGTTAAGACTATGAGATAAAACCTATAAAGGGCACTTCCACTATATGGAAGAAGTTAAAAAAAAATTATCCAAAATCTGTATAGACGGATGGATAAAGACAAACTTCGATAATTAATTATAGTCATGGAGGAGAGTAATGTTTGCATGGAGGAGTGTTGGATGGAGGAGTGAAATTGACTACTGGGAAGTGTAATGGTTGTATGGAGGAGTGGAAGGGGCTACTGGAAAGTGTAATGGATACGTGGAGGAGTGAAAGTGACTGCTGGAAAGTGTAATGTCCGCATGGAGGAGTGGGGGTGACTACAGGAAAGTGTAATGGCTGCATAGGGTCTCAACAAAGAGACATTAAATCCTACTGGGAAGTGGAATAGCTATTATAACTCTCCTATATATATTTTTCTCGTATGCTAACCCTATATAAAACAAACAAACTGAAACTACTACTACTACATCTAAGCATAATAATGGATAGGACTCCGATCAAGAAAGTTGTTGAACAGCCACTCCATGGTTCACCCGTTAGTCATAATATTCTGTACCAAGATCTTAAGCGTGACTTTACTAAACTGAAGCGTGAGGTTAATGAATTTCTTGAGTGGGTGGTTCGTGACTCAAGCATTGATTCCCTAAAAAATGTCATGTTGGAGGAGCATCCGTTAACCTCAATTTATACCATGCTTGATGATATGGCCATACCATCCGTCCAGAATGGAGCTAAGAGCAATTATATTATTGTTATCACTAGTGACACTGAATCTACCTCCAAGACCACCAAGTCTCTCTCTGTGACCCAGAATATTGAGTAATCCATGCATTATGAAGTTTTCTCTCAAGTTGTCTTTCGCTTATGGTGATGTTTTTCTAATAGTCTATGAAGTTGTCTATCCCTTATGGTGATGTTTTTATTGATCTTATTATGTTTTGGTGACGTTATGAAATCTCATATTAATGAAATTATATTATTATGTCTTTGAATCATTTTATTTTACTTAAATGATCGTTTGATTCCAGTTAACAAAACAGTCATATTGTCTTCAAAAGTGCAATTATTCGTTTGATGCCTAATGCAGTGAAAGAACTAATGTAGCATTTGTAAAGATTAATTAAATCCTCTAAAGGTGGTCAATTTTTTACCAAATTAAGATAGCACATTAAACTTATGACACCAAACCTTGGACAATAGAAAAATATATTGTCAAGAAATATATAAAAAACTTGAAGATAGTTGAGAATAGAAGAAGCACTTATGAAGCAAACTTCCCAAGTTCTTGTCAAAAAAAGGAATTTTTTAGAGATGAATCAAACAGTGTCTAAAATCTGACATTACTACCATTTTTCAGAATCAAACAAATATGAAAAGTTCATCTAACATTCCACACAATGTCCAAAATATGATGAATATCATGAATCAATGTAGTAAGGTTTAAAACATGTGCAAAATGAATCTAACGCTTATAACTACTTAACATCTCGTCAGTAGATGATAACACTTTGACACTTAGAACTAAACTTTTCAATTAAGATCTAACCATATAGACAAAACATTCAGTTCATAAGGGGGAAAATAGTTTTATTAATAATCAAACTGAACAATTTTCTGATATCTTCATCCCTACAAACATTCCAGCTAACAATACAGATAAAATAACACTTGCTCCATTGTCACCTTCAACCCCTACACCATTTTCATCTACAAACGAACTTGAAGATGGTTCTTCACTGTCAGCATTTTCTTCTTGAAATTCATTGAATGTTGCTATAGCTTCCTCATAAGATTTGTAAGACTTGAAGATGCTTCCTTTGAAACCTATAATCATAGGAGCACACTCACACCAAGGGTTGTATAATCCGAGACTTTTACCATGAAATATCATATACACCTTCGATGCCGATATATTATCAGCTTGATAACTTTTTTTAAACTCATTGAACGTTGTTATGGCTTCATCATACGATTTGAAAGCCTTGAAGATGCTACCCTTGACACCAGTAACCATAGGATCACACTGATGCCAGGAGTTGTATAATCCAATCCTCTTACTACGAAATACAACATAGACTTTCGAAGCATTATTCCTCTTCCCGTCTCCCATTCCTTAATCTAACCCTTAACTCTAAAAAAAAGATAAGAGATGAAGAAGGAGAAAACAAAGATAGAAATATGGAGGCTGAAAAAGCTTCTTAGGGATATGATTTAATTCATACAGACTAACAGTGTAAATTTCTTTTATATTACTATATTTATTTATCCTAATAGATTGTCTGTCTAATTCTCTTAAAAAATAATTTCACTCATGATGAATACTTATAATCCTTCGGTTTTCAAAAAGAATAAACTTATTATTATTTGGTGAGTCAAATAGGGTTTTCTTTGATCATATTTTTTGGAAATAGCTTTAATTTTTTTTAAATTATTAATTATTGTGATCTATAGTACTTTTTATATAGTTTCTAATTATTTCAATTAAGTTAAAAAATTATTTATCTCGAGAAATTTGACTCTCGTACTCCGAAAAAGTTCATATAAATTAAAATGGATGAAATACATGGTGATATGATAATGTAAAAATTGTCAACATTGATATAAATTAAACTCTCACAAATCTAAGGTTGCTTTCGCTCATATCCAACTAATCACAACCTAATCTGTTGGTCCAATTAAAAGGATAGCGCGGTGCATAAGGCATCCCACATTCATGCAGGGTCCGGAGAAATACCGTACCACAAGGGGTATGAAGTAAACAACCTACCCTAATACAAGTATTAATGATTGTTTCTACGACTCTAACCCATAATCTAAAGTCACACAAAAACAACTTTACCGTTGGTTAGATTATCCTTACATATTAGCATAAGATCATCTATAGGAACTCTTACATATTAGCATAAGAGCATCTATAGGAACTTGTAACCTTCAAACATAGATCCATTTCCATATATACTCTAACATATTATAATATGTATAACGTTGCTTTTCTTATTCCAGCAAATCACAAACTCTTACCAAAATTAACAAATATATATAAGAAGGTTGCTTTCTCTTTTTCCAGCTAATCACAAACTCTCGGTCACATACAAATAAAAAACAGTGTCCAAACCGTTTCCCCAATAAAATGTCATACCCCACCCCCTCTTGAGCGTGTTGGATAATTGTGCGTGTATTTATATATATTTGTGTGTCTATATATACATAACACAAACACAAAGATACACTCCAAAATTTTCAACCTTATTTCAGCAAAAAATTCAGACAATATTGCAATGACAACACAAGAAGAGGGATTAACGTTAGAGCTCATTCGACAACATCTCCTCGAAGATTTCACAAGTACAGAATCATTTATCAACAGCCTTAATTCTTGTTTTTCCGATCAAATCTCCCCTATTTTCACCTCAGTAAAAACAGAGCCTTCTACTTCCAATAATTCACTCTCAGATTCTCCTACATCGTACCCAAATTCACCAATTTCCCATTACTTCAGCGATTTCCCCGAATTCAAAACAAATTCAGACACTAATCTTAGCCCAACATCCAACAGCTCTGTTAGTTCCAACTCGACTATTTCATCGGATACAACGAGTAGTAATATTAACGAAAATAAGAATAAGAATTACAGAGGAGTAAGGAAAAGGCCATGGGGTAAATTTGCAGCAGAGATAAGAGATCCTAATAAAAAAGGGTCGAGGATTTGGTTAGGTACTTTTGATGCTGACGTGGATGCAGCTAGAGCTTATGATTGTGCTGCGTTTAAGATGAGAGGTAGAAAAGCTATTTTGAATTTTCCGATGGATGCCGGAAAATCTGGTGCTCCGGCGAATATTGGCCGGAAAAGGAGAAGAGATAACGGGATGGAGCTTGAGATGCTGAATTTGTAACAGTGTTAAGGTTTTTAGTTAGGCGAAAGAAGATGTGTAACAAAAATGTGTGAATTAAGTATGTTAATCCTTTAAAGAGCTGTATTAAACTCCCTCTGTTCAATTTTGTCTGAACTTGCTAAAATAAATGAAGAAGTTAATTTACCTTACATTAATTAAGAGTGATAGTTTAGAATATAGTTAGAACGAAAAGAAAATTTAAATTTTGATTTGATTAAATAAATTTGAATTCGTGAAAGTGAACGCTATTAGATAATGTTGATAGTGAAAGTAATATAAAGCCTTCTACGAAGTCTCAAAATAAAAATATAAAAATATTCTCTCAATTCCACTTTATGTTACACATTTGATGTTTGGAGAGTTAAAGAATGTTTTTTTATTGGTTTTTAGAAAATACTTTTTAAACATTTTACACTGTTAACTATTGTGACTTATAATATTTTTATGTGATTTTTATATATATATATATATATATATATATATATACTTTTATTTTATTTTTTTTAAATATTTTCATTCACGCTAATAATCAGTTTGCATGACCTTCGTATATCAAAGTACGTCACATATAATGCAAAGAATACTATATACAAGTTTGTGAGATTTCTTGGAAAAGAACCTTTTGATTAGTAAGAGTTATGATAAAGCATGACGGTAAACAGTGTCTTGTTTGACAAAAAAAATATATATTTTGATTCAAATAACTAAATTTATGTAAATAAGGGTTAATTTAAGCGATCTCTAGATGGAGTTTTTAAAGAAGCAGTAAATGTTGCGTAGGTATGGCCGAGTAACAGCAATAACATGCAATAAAAACCCTAGAAATCATAAGTAATGATGTAACATTCAATAATAATGAACAACAATAAATAACATTCAAGTAAATAGGAGGAACGATTCTCCAAATAAAGGATGGAATAAGTGGATCTTTCTCCTGACAATGAGTGATGATAGACAAATCATTGAATATTCAAGTTATTCTCGGATCTGATGGAAAATATGGACAAAAATTTTAGTGAAAAAGTGATGTTTGTGTTTTAGTAGAGAGAGACAGAGACGAATATTTTAGTCAAAGTATGTTCTTTACAAATGAATATCACATACCCCTATCATTGTCTCCTTTTGTATTTATATGGGGCATATTCCTAAGAAACTCTAATAGTACAAATGTAGAGAATATCCAGTAGAATATTCTCTTTAATGTCCTATCACGAAAATTAGTCGTTACAACTCTATCAAAGGTACTCGACCTCGACCTCGTCCCTTGTTGGCAACTCGACTACGGCTCTTCTTGATAACGACCCTTGTTGACTACAACTCTTGTTGACTCTTTGACCACAAACTTTGCTGCTTCTTGGGCCATCTCGACAAATGACGACTTGGGGATTCTTTCCTTAGTATTATCTTGGCTTAAATATTCCAAAAACAGATTTTGACCCATATAGTTAGTCCCTCCGCCTATTAAGGTTGGCTTCAGTCGGGTTTGATGAGCGGATTTTGTTCGTCGTGGTCGGAACAATCGAGCGGGATGTGCGGGTCGGAGTGCTTACGGCGAACTGGTAACGTGGCTCTACGTCGGCCGCTTATTTCAAACGCTTTGATTTTCCCGGTTGGTTTGTTGGAGTTATGCTGTCCACGAATTAGGATGACGTCATGACGTTATGCGTCATTATGACGTTATGCATCATTATGACGCATGTTCCCGATGTGTTGCTTCGTTTCGCGTGTGACCCTTGATTGAATATGCCGCTTCGATTTCGGTGCCAGGTAATGATAAAACGACTTTGGTTCTGGAGCCAAGATCCTTATAAATAGGGATGTTAGGATATGATTTTGAAGTTTCAAATTTTCTATTTCAAACCCCAGCATTATTCCCTTGCCCTAAACCTCTTCTGTTCTAGTGAATTGCACTCGTTCTCAGTTCTTCAACGTTCGATACTTCTTTTAAAACATGTCTAACATGCCTTCCGAGTCTAGTGAGGGGACTGAAGCGATCCCTTTGGCAACGGTGTTTCCTCCTCACGAGAAAAACGTTCCGGTTGCTGTCGATGATGGAAGTTTTCCGTTGGTGGAGGAGATAGTTCCTCGCAACCCTGATACTAGGTCTGACTTCTCTAAATTTCCCGATACTAACATTAGGGCCTTTCGGTCTGTGATGACGGAGTAAGAATTGGGAGAACTTAGGGCTAAGTTCGGCCTTCCCGACTATGTCGAATTGATTCCGGCCGGATAGGATACTGTGTAGGTCCACCATCCTGGGTATTGCGCCTTCTACGCCTATCCCTTCCAAGTCAGCTACACTCTCCCTCTTCTTCCGCTGGCGGAGAAATTCTGTCGTTATTACGGTGTTTGCCCAGCTCAACTTATGCCGTATGTCTATAAGCTTATAATGATGCTTACTAAATTTGCCGAGCTGGCCGAGGTCGAACTTACTCTTTTGGCATTTAATACATCCGTTCGCTCCCAGCTTTTATAGAGGGACGATGCTGAATCTCATTCGCCGAGGAGGCAAGTGCCTAGTGGTGAAGATGGACGACAAAGCTAACCTCCAATTCTGTTTCAACTTCTTCTTTGTCAGAAATAACAATGTGGTGGCAAACGTCGACGGTTTCCCTGAGACTTTAAATTATACTCGTAAGTACCTAATTTCCTTGCATGTAGGTACTTGATTTTTTGTTTGGTCATGGACTTTGACCTCTTGTCCTTTTCTTGTGCAGCCAAGACCATGCCTCCTCCTTTGGTCGAGGACATTTATGATTGGGTTGGCCGACTTCTCCCTCACATCGTAAGGATTCATGAGTGGACGGGTTTCTTTATGAGGTTTGGGCTTGCTCTCCCTTCGACTGGTGAGTGCTTTTTATCATTGGAACCTTAGTTCTTTTTCCTTTTTGCTTGCCTCCGCTTAACTTTTCCTTTCCCTTTGTTTTTCTTAACTTCGGCTAGGGGATCTTCGAGGAGGTCGAGGGCTCCCGCGCACTTTTTCCGAAAAAGGAAAGCTACTGCGTCCTCAGCTCATGTCCCTTCTTCGACTGTAGCTACTTCTATTCGTGCCCAGGTCCCTTCTTCGACGACGAGTGCTTCTGTTCGTGTCCCGGTCCCTCCAGTGGATGTCCCTTCTTCGGCCTCTCCGTTATACTGTCTTATTGATGAGGACGAAGAGCCTTTGCCTGGTGATGATGATTTAATGCCTCGTAAGAGGAGGGCCGTAGACATCATG